CGAGCGGAGAGCCCTACCCAGCACCCCCTGCTGCGCATCGGGAGCATCAGCCTGTTCCGCCCGCCCCCCAGGAGGACCCTGCAGGAGCACAGGCTGGACAGCAACCTGATGATCCGCTTGCCAGACCGGCCCCTCAAGCCTGGGGAAGTGCTCAGCATCCTCCTCTATCTGGCCCCCAACTCCTCCTCGTCCTCCAGCCCCAGCGTGGAGCACTTTACACTCAGGTAGTAGGGAAGATGGGTGGGGATCTGGTCTCCCTTCCAAGATCAAATGCATACCTGACTCCTTGTGGGTGGGTGGGAGGGGGGACCTCCCAGCTGTATCCCTGTCCAGCTTCCTAATCCTGGGTCTGTCATTTAGTACTTGAGCAACCTCAGGAAGATACCTCGCTTATTGGAGCCGCAGTGCTCTTATCTGTCTAATGGCAACAAACATTCCTGCCCCTATTTCTGGATCTCATAGAAATGGCATCATGGTAAAGAGGAAATATCAGTTTCACAATCATAGATGTCCAGAATGATAGAACTGGGACTAGAAGTGCCCTTAGACATTTTACAGACAAGGAGACTGAGGCCAAGGAAGAGAAATGGGGACCAGAGAGCAGCCTCTTGGCTGGGAGCCAACAGAAGGGTGAGAGTGTGTGTGTGTGTGTGTGTGTGTGTGTGTGTGTGTGTTTAGGGACATTTGCTCCAGTCCTAGAGTTGGGAGAAAAATTTTCAGGATTCCCAGCTCTTTCTATCCTTCTACATCTTGAAAAGGACACAGTTTGCAAACTCAAAAATTCCTTCGATTGTATCACATCCCCCCAAAACATGATAATATTTCACACTAGGAATCTATGGTTTGACCTATGTTGTGTAACTCTGAGGACACCCACCAAAATGCTTCCCCACCCCCAGACACTATGCATGGGACCTGAAACATCACCATTAGCCTGCAACTTCTAGTATTTCCCTGTCTCCTCAGTGTCCTACCTTCAAGTTTAAATATTGTTGGAAAGAGTCATGCCTGATTCAGTGATTGATACCTGAATGTGAACATAAGTTAAATCAGTCATCAGAGATCTTGGGCTGCATTAATAGGAGTAGAGCTTGCAGAATTAGAGAGGTGGCAATCACCTCACTTTAGCCAATGTTCATTGGGGTGCAGCTGAAGTGTTGTATTTAGTACGGGACACTTCACATTTAGTGTCCAGAAGAGCGTGACTGGCTGTGAGGTGATTCAGAATTATGGCAACAAACAATTGGAGGAACTGAAGGAAAGAAGATTCAGAGAACACCTACTCACCTCGCCAGCTTTTTGAAGAACTACTACGGTTAAGATGGAGGGGAATTGTTCTCTGTTGCCCAGCAGAACCTGTGGCTGTTTTAGCTCAACCACATCCAGGGAAGATCTTTCTAGTTTTCATGGGCTTTCTGAAAAAGGAATGAGATGTGTGCAGTAGTGAGTCCTGTCACTAAGGTATGCCAGTAGAGATGAGGCAAAGACTTGGCAGGGATATGGTAGAAGGAATTGCAGCTTTCACCGAGGGTCAGAGTTTTCAGCTGTGTGATACCAGATTCTCCAAATTCATCTGGAACATTCATCTGAAACATCCAGGACTCAGGGTAACTTAGCTTATCTGTCCCCTTCCCCCCAGTACAGCCTAGTGATGGTGGCCAGGTGGGCAGCTTTGGGCTGTAGCCTGACCCTCTCCCTCTTCTTCCTCCCACTTTGTCCCAGGGTAAAGGCCAAGAAGGGTGTGACCCTTTTAGGTACCAAGTCACGGAGTGGCCAGTGGCATGTGACCTCGGAGCTGCTGACTGGGGCAAAGCACTCAACAGCCACCGTGGATGTGACCTGGGCTCAGGGCACACCCCTGCCCCCCTGGTGAGCCGGAGTTGGTGCATCTACCCACCTCTTTGCAGAGCAGCCATCTGAGAGGGGTGGGGAATCTTTGAGGGAAGAGGCTGGGCTTGGGGAGGGCTGGGGCTTGGCCACTGGGGTCTCTGAGGTCTAGGCCCCTCAGTGGCATCCTGGGGCTGGAGCACCTCAGATGGGCTGGAGAAGGCTCACAGGGCCCCGTCAGGTAGCTCCCCGGGAGGGGTGGGGTCCCCATTGAGGGTTTCTGAGTTCCTGGGCCACTCCCAGCCCTTCATCCTCTGCTCTCCTTCCCTCCCCTCCCCTGGCAGGGAGGGCCAGGGCCCCTTGGAGATCCTGCAGCTGGACTTTGAAATGGAGAACTTCACCAGCCAGTCGGTCAAGCGGAGGATCATGTGGCACATTGACTACCGTGGCCACAGCGCCCTGCCTGACCTGGAGCGGGCAGTTACTGAGCTGACGGTCATTCAGCGGGATGTGCAAGCCATTCTACCCCTGGCCATGGTGAGCAGACAGGTGACCAGCCCAGAACATGCCTGAGTCTATGCATGCATGCACATTTGTGTGACAAGAATGTGAACCACTGAGTATATGTACAAATTGACATGTGTGTATATGTGAGACTTCCTGCCATGCCCAGGTATGTCTGTGTGAGAAGATGTGTGCATGTGTGTTATATTTGTGGGCCATGAGGACAGCAGATGCTCGTGGGGGCAGAGGTGGGAGATGTCACCATGGAGGGACCACTGATGGGAAGTTTGCAGGAGGAGGTAGCAATGCAGTTGAGTCTTGGAGGTCACCTGGGAGGGAGGGCTCCCAGAGATGCACAGTGTGTCCTAGGCAGGGCATTACTTGGGCAAAGGTACAGTAGTGAGAATATGAGTAGTTTGTTCAAAAGAACTGTAGATTTAGAAAGAGCGTCATGGAGTGGTAGGGCTGGAATGATTGTCTGGGGCCAGCCCAGGGCAGCTTGAATGGCCAGGGGCATGTGTTGGACGTTACTATGTGAGTCCTGAGGAGCCTGGAAGCTGTTTAAGAGGAGACAGCAGGGGTCTGGGGAAGGATTGTTTCCTGGCAGCACAGTGAGGTGGACCCTGAGGTTCCTGCAAAAATCCAAGTGAGCAGACCATCTGTCAAGGAGCGTGAGGCGGGGTGGTTGCCTATCCCAGCACACGTGTGCAAGTGTCCCCACTGGAAGGATGTGCATCTGAGAAGTGGGTGGGGGGGTGTCCAGGAGCCGGGGCCTTGGCTAGTGTGCCCCAGGACAGAAGAGGACCACAAGCAGAGCCCCCTCCCTGCTTCTCCTCCCTGCAGGACACAGAGATCATCAACACGGCCATTCTGACTGGCAGGACAGTGGCCATCCCTGTCAAGGTCATTGCCATTGAGGTGAATGGCCTCGTCCTAGACGTCTCTGCCCTAGTGGAATGCGAGTCAGACAATGAAGACATCATCAAGGTGGGCATCCTGGAGGTGGGGCCCCTGGGGAAGAAGCCCTAGGCCTTCAGGAGAGCAGAACCTCAGACCAGAGTCCAGGTGGCTGACTCTTATTCATCCTCTAAGACGGAACTCATGCCTCCCTGTGCTGGGATCCCTTCTGTTGCAGCAGCTGCCCCACCCTTTTCCTCCTACAGCACTGGCCTTACTTCATCCCAAGCTTCACCACACCATTCTGAAAGGGTTCATTCCCAAGTCTACTGACTCCCATGGTACTCCGTCTTCCTGCCCCTGGATACTGCTTTAGCCAGTCCTGGAGGGCTTCCTATAGGAATATGAAACAGACTGTCAGGCCAGAGGGGAGAAGGCAGTGTCAACAACTTGAAATCAATCTAGCAAGACATTATTGAACCTTGGTGTGTGGCAGACACCTGGCAAGGCAACGGGGTGGGTGAGGGAGACAACCCCTCAAAGACCTGCTCTGAACCCAGAGTGCGAGTGATCGGATGAAGGCAATGTAGCTCAGGAAGAAGCCTCAAGAAGTATGTGAGTAAGGCCAGGCGTGAAGGTTGTGTACTGAGGGCCCCACTCCCGGCACACACGCTCCAGCTCCTCCAGCTCCTAAAGGCTCCTCTCAGCCGTGAGCTCCCAGCCCACCCCTGAGCTCCTCCCCAGGGACCTGCTCTGGCCCCAGGTCCTCCACAGCCCAGCCCACACGACACTCATCTGACTCAATGACCCAGTTTGCCACCTCCCCAAGAGGGTTCCAGATTCGCTTCTTCCCCTGGTTTTGAACGGTGGTCAGAAGTGAGTTGGGAAGAGGAGGCAGTAGAGTGGGCAGTGGTGTGAGCAGATGTCCAACCCTGGTACCTGTGGGGTGGGCCAGCCGCTCACTATGCCACCCTCCAGCAGGCATCAAAATCAGATGATTAGACAACTGAATTCGTTCTTGCTCCTGTAAATAATTCAGCTTGAAGGAGAGCAGGACAGTTGGAATGCAGATGTCCTCCTCCTGGTCGCTTGGGCTCGCTCCTGCTCTCTCTCTCTATGCTTTGCCTTTGGGTCCCTCCAAGTCTGGGGAGCATGGGGCTTACCTCTTCTATCCATCATCCAGGAAGGATGCCTTCCAAGGGAGCCAGAGCAGATGGTCTGGTACCCCCCACTCCACTGCATCACCCCCTTCAGAGGAGCCTCACCAGAAGTCTGTGGGGCTGTCCACGGCTGGCAGACTGGGATGGGAAGAAACAGATCTGCTCCCAAGGGCCCTTACCCAGCACCTTCTCTGCCACCCAGACTCCCCCACCCCAGCTCCAGAGCAGAACCAAGGAGAATTAGAGAAGATGTTAAATGAAATTGGTTACAAATCTCAATGAAATATACTCAGGTCTTATGGAGTCTGCCACATTGTAAGTGGAATTTACAGGTCTGCAGTTGGAATTCTTTGCCTTCTGAGGTGGGAAATGAGCATTTCTGGCAGGGCTGCTGTCCCATCCCTCCACCCACCCCTCTGAGATGATGATGGGAGCTGGCAGGGTTTGGCATGCCCCAGGGGCTCATCTCCATGGATAAGCCATAGTCCCAATGCCCCTGGGTCCTTCCAGAGCCTTCAGGGCATCATCAACCCACCAGCTGAATGATAGACCTGCTCCCAAACTCAAGACCATGTACCCATGGACGTGCACCAGCATGAGCACCTAGATGCATGTACACACAGCATCCGTTCTGGGCTGCCAGGTGTGTGCGTGGGCATATTTAACACACAGAGCCATCTGCATTTGCCCTAAAGTACTGGCAGTGACACCTCTGTGAGTGGGCACAGGTATCCACCAAGATGTACTCAGCAGGCATGTGGTTTCCATCCAGGGAACCTCTAGGAATGCAAGTCGGTATCCAGGTGGGCAGGCATTTACAACAGCCACATTCGTTGGTGGCAGCCATCCACCCATCTATGCCTGGGGTTCTCTGGTCCTGAGTTTTCCTCTCCCATTCCCTCATCTCCACACCTGGTTAAGCAGCCCCCCTCACCAGAAATTAACTACCTGCCCATTCTCCTGGGGCAACCATGCCAGAGAGGCTGTGGAGGACATGGGCCTGCGCCTCATCCCCATCCCCTCCACCTCAATGTTCTCCCTGCCCAGTTAAGTGCCCATGTCCTTTTCTGCACCATAGAGGACTCTACCTGCCAGACCCCTGGCTCCAGAGCCCCGCCAGTCCTCCTAGGGGAGGGGAGCCAGCCCTGAGAGGCCCTCACCCTGGAGCCTCCTCCAAAGTGTGGCTCTGGCAGATCGGGAACAGCCCCTGAAAAGCATTTGCATGTTGGCTCCTTACTAAGGAACAAAAGCCTTCCCCAGTGGGCACCAAGAGGTGATCTCGAGAAAGAGCAAAAGCAGTGATGGAAGCCGGGACTCCTAGAGGAGTCAATGCCTCCTTCCACTGGCCGCCTCTCCTTCAGCCTCCTAGGACTTTCCCTCCAGCCCTGCTTGTCAGACTGAAGTTCCCTGCATTGCCTCACAGGAAGACCTGTACGGCAAGACGTGCCAACTGTTCCTCCCTTCCCCCAGGTTTCCAGCAGCTGCGACTACGTGTTTGTGAGCGGAAAAGAGTCTCGAGGGTCCATGAACGCCAGGGTCACCTTCCGCTACGACGTTCTCAATGCCCCCCTGGAAATGACAGTCTGGGTACCCAAGCTGCCCTTGCACATTGAGCTCTCAGATGCCCGCCTCAGTCAAGTGAAGGGCTGGAGGGTACCCATCCTCCCCGACCGGAGGTACAGCCCCTCTCCTATGGCAGATACTCGGGATACTCATGGGTGGATACAACCTCTGCCAACAGTCTGACCTGCATATGGGTATAAGGCCCTTGGTATACATAGTCTGTCGGTTGGTTGTGCAGTTAACAAACTTTCATCGACCCGCTACTGTGAGCTAGGCACTGGCAAGTGTTTGAGATGGGGTGACTGTGGCCAGTGCCTGACCATGCCAGTCTCTCAGTCCAGCAGGGGAGGAAGGCATGTGCATGCCACAGAACATGGTGATGGATGGGAAGCCCTATGTGCAGGGAATCAAGTGGCACAAGGAGAGGACCGCTTCTTCCTCCAGGAGAAGTCAAAGCAGGCTTCCTGGAAGAGACAGCTCTTGAGCTAAGTCTTAAAGAATGAACTGAAAGGAGTTGGCTGGGGAGACAGGTTAAGAGACTGCCTGCAGTCAGGCGGACAAAATGGAGCAGACACACCTGTACGCATGTGCCTCAGCCTGGGCACACCAAGGATACACTAGTGAGTGCATGAGTGCAGGCACACTGTGACTCATACCCAGGTTGCCTTGTGGGCTTGTAAGCTCAGGCACCTGGGTGCCCATATGTGGGGCATATACGTGTGTACTCACCACATTCCAATCACCCACTCAGCTGCTGGAGAGAAAAGCCCAGCAGGGAAGAGAAGAGAGGAAAGTGACAGGCAGCTAAGAGCAGGAGGTGGGTGGGGCTGGAGAGAGAAGCAGGTGGTGAGAGAAACAGGCAGCCAAGTGAGAAATGGGCTGAGTTCAACTCAGAGAGATTTGGAAGAGCAATGTGGCATAGACCAGTGCCTCTCAAACTTTAATGTGTACATGAATCATCTGGGGATCGGAGTAAAATGCAGATTCTGACTGGGCAGGTCTGGGGTAAAGCCTGTAATTCTGCATTTCTCACCAGCTCCTGGGTGATAGCGATACTGCTTTGAGTAGCAGTGGACTCAGAAGCCAGACAGCCTGGTTTAAGTCCTGCCTCTGCTATTTACTAGCTGTGTAAACTTGGGCTACTTATGTAACCGCTCTGTGCCTCCATCTCCATATCTGTAAAATGGGCACAATAACACCTGCCTCATAGGATTTTTTGTGAGGAATAAATTAATTAACCCAGGTAAAAGAACTCTCGGTGTAAATGAATATTCTAGTTGCTTGATCCTCCAGTACACCAACAAAGCACTAGCTACAGAGAGAAACACTTGGCTTTATCACCAAAGCACACCTTCCTGGCAGTAAACCTCTCAATTTTAGCATTTTTTTTTTCTTTTTGCAATGTGCACAGGCTGAGAATTTCCCAAATCATCAAGTCCAGGTTCCCTTTTGCTTAACAGTTTATCTATGTGTCTCTCTCCTCTCACATTTGACTAAAAGCAGCAAAAGAAAACCAGGCCACAATTTCCACACCTTGCTTGGAAATCTTCTCAGTTAAATGTCCGAGTTCATCACCTACAGGTTCTGCTTAGCTTCCTCACAACCACAGAACATAATTCAGCTAAGATTTCTGGCATTCTATAAAAAGGATCACATTTGCTCCAGGTTAGAGCTTAAAACAGTGCCAGGCACAAACTTAGTACTGAAGAAGAGGCAGCAGTTGCTGTTAGGATTTGACACCAGCTATTCTTGGGCTTGGCTTAAGCCAAGAGGAGGCAGATAGGAACAGGAGGTAGGGTCAAGAAGGTACTTTTCTAGGAGAGAAAAGACTGGGACTCCTGGCTCCAAACTTAGAGATGAAAGGCATGAACCAGAGTGGAGGCTTGCTTTTGCAGACCTCCTGGGAAGCTGGGAGGACCCAACAGGGCAAGGGTGAGGGGTGTGAACTGTGCAGGTCAGAGTCCAGGTGAGAAGCCTTCAGCATGGCGTGTCCCCACCCCAGGTCAGTTCGGGAAAGCGAGGACGAGGACGAGGAAGAGGAGGAGCGGCGGCAGAGTGCAAGCCGGGGCTGCACCCTGCAGTACCAGCATGCCACCCTGCAGGTCTTCACCCAGTTCCACACGACATCATCCGAGGGCACTGACCAGGTGGTCACCATGCTAGGCCCAGACTGGCTGGTGGAGGTCACTGACCTAGTCAGTGACTTCATGCGGGTGGGCGACCCCCGAGTGGCACACATGGTGGACAGCAGCACACTGGCAGGGCTGGAGCCAGGCACCACCCCCTTTAAGGTAGGTATGGGCTCTGTCCCGGCACAAAGGGGCAGTGTTGGGAGCCTTATTTACCTGTGGGTGCAGACCTCAGATTTTCCCAACCCCAACTGGCCCCCAGAACACTCTTCCCTGCCTGCCCCTTGTCTGAAATTCCAAGGTCAAGCTCCCTTAGCTTCATCCTGGTAAAAGTTCTCACTCCGAGCTGTATCAACCTTCATCAATCCTCAGTGTGGGTGACTCAAGCAGACCCCTCCCTGAGAGCAGAGGGGGAGCAGGTGACAGTCAGCCAGGCTGGAGTCCAGGAAGGTGCGTTTGGTGATCTAGGAACTCAACTTTGACCTTTCCTGACTTGTTTCAACCCTGACAACTGGGTGTCTGGATAGAAATCATCTACCTAAGAAACTATTGTGACCTGTAGGCTAGAATCTGCCTGCAGACATATTTTCTTCGTAAAACAATTGATCCAACGTGTTTTCAATTGGGAGATTTCTCATTTAAAAAATACATATAGATTTCTGGTTTCACAAAAAATGAATCTGGCAACAATCAGCTGAAGCCGGTATTGGTGCCTCCTATACGTGAGAATGAGTTCCCTCATTTTCCACAGTCCTCACCACTCCCTTTTGTCTCTCTGACATTGAGGTTGCACATCAATTGCTGCTTATCACTGTGTGTGGGTTGTTGTTTTCCTTAGAATTGGCCCACCTCTCTCATTTGTGTTCTTGCCTGACTCCTATGAGCCCCTAACACTCTCATGACCTCTGGACACTGGTTCCTGGTTGCAGACCTGAGCCAGAGCTGCAAAGTCCTGCCTCCCAGCCTGCCTCACCCTTCAGGCCCCTCTTGCAGCAGTGCTGGGATTTCTCCCTAGCTGGGGATCTTGGGCAGGGGGGTTGCGCTTTCCTAGCTCTCTCCCATCCCGGTCCCGCTCTGCCTCAGGTGGTGTCTCCGCTGACGGAGGCTGTGCTCGGGGAGACGCTGCTGACAGTGACGGAGGAGAAGGTCAGCATCACACAGCTTCAGGCCCAGGTGGTGGCCAGCCTGGCCCTCTCCCTGCGGCCCAGCCCTGGGAGCAGCCACACCATCCTAGCCACCACAGCTGCCCAGCAGACCCTGAGCTTCCTCAAGCAGGTAACTGGCTGCTTGGCCCACCAGCCAGGGATTTGGTGGTACGGAAGGAGGACCTGGGGACTCTGCTTTGCCCTAGCACCAAAAGTCCCCAAATTAGGGCTTTAGGAAACAGAGGATCTCTGCCCTCCATGCCCTGCACACCTGCTCACCCCATGGCCACAGCATCTACATGGGAGGTCAGAGCAAGGTCTCGCTTGCTGCTCTTGCCACCTGAGATGTTCCCTCTGAGGGTCTCCCTCCTGGATTCACAGAGGGCTGTCACCTCCACATCACCCCCAGGAAGTACCCTCACTTATCTCTGAAGCCCCAAGTATACACCATGGGCATAGCCACAGGACAAAAGTGGAAAGGTGACAGGTGGGAGTCCTGGGGAGTGAGGAGGTGACAGGTGTGAGTCCTGGGGAGTGAGGAGGTGAGCATCAAGTGCTGAGCCCAGAGTCAGGACACGGGGTCCTCTCATACCATCACCCCAAGCCAATCACTTCTCTCTGAACCCTACTTCCTCATCTGGAGCAAGGGCAATTCCCAGAAGGTTTTAGCCAACAGGCAGAAGTGGGGAGTGGGTGTGTATTCTCAACAGCTTGTTGTCTGACGGGGGCAAACCCAAGGTCAGGCATGGAGATACAGAGCTATTCCAGCAGCAGAAGGGACTTGAATTAGACCCAAGGCAAAACTTACCTTCCGCTTATCCAGGGGAGACGGGTGAAGTGGACAACGGCATCCTCAGAGCGGTATGAGCCTGGATGCCATCGTCTGGAATTTAGCCTCCCCACACCCTGTAAGGGGGACTCTCACTTGAGCAATAGTTCTTAGTGCCCGCCACAGGCCAGGCACAGTTCCAGTGCTGAGAATACAGCAGGGAGCCAGAGACCTGTGGTCCCCGCTCCTAGAGAGCCCAGGATCTAGCAGGAAGCCAGCTAAACAAGCTCTTTGACTCCTGACTCCTCTTTCTCCTCCTCCTCCAGGAAGCCCTACTGAGCCTCTGGCTCTCCTACAGTGATGGCACCACAGCCCCACTCTCCCTCTACAGTCCCCGAGACTACGGACTGCTAGTGAGCAGCCTGGATGAGCGTGTGGCCACTGTGACCCAGGACCGGGCCTTCCCTCTGGTAGTGGCTGAGGCCGAGGGGGCAGGGGAGCTGCTCCGCGCAGAGCTAACCATCGCTGAGAGTTGCCAGAAAACCAGACGCAAGAGTGTGCTGGCCACGACCCCTGTGGGCCTGCGGGTGCACTTTGGGAGGGACGAGGAGGACCCCACTTATGACTACCCGGGCCCCAGCCAACCAGGGCCTGGCGGGGGCGAGGACGAGGCCCGGGGAGCCGGCCCGCCAGGCTCTGCGCTACCCGCACCGGAGGCCCCAGGCCCAGGCACCGCCAGCCCCGTCATGCCACCCACAGAAGACTTCCTGCCGCTGCCCACCGGCTTCCTGCAGATGCCACGGGGTCTGACCGACCTGGAGATTGGCATGTACGCGCTGCTGGGCGTCTTTTGCCTCGCCATCCTCGTCTTCCTCATCAACTGCATCGTTTTCGTGCTGCGCTACCGGCACAAGCGCATCCCGCCCGAGGGCCAGACCAGCATGGACCACTCTCACCACTGGGTATTCCTGGGCAACGGGCAGCCGCTGCGAGTGCAAGGGGAGCTCTCGCCGCCGGCAGGCAACCCGCTGGAAACCGTGCCCGCCTGCTGCCACGGCGACCACCACAGCAGCGGCAGCTCTCAGACCAGCGTCCAGAGCCAGGTGCACGGCCGGGGCGACGGCTCCTCGGGCGGCTCAGCCCGGGACCAAGCCGAGGACCCCGCCAGCTCGCCCACCTCCAAGCGCAAGCGGGTCAAGTTCACCACCTTCACCACGCTGCCGTCAGAAGAGCTGGCCTATGACTCGGTGCCCGCCGGCGAAGAGGACGAGGAGGAGGAAGAGGACCTGGGTTGGGGCTGCCCGGATGTGGCGGGCACCACGCGGCCCACTGCACCCCCGGACCTGCACAATTACATGCGCAGAATCAAAGAGATTGCATAGAGGCGCCAACCGGAGTAGCAGGGACTCCCCCATCGGGGTCAGCTCGCGGTAGGACACAGCCGGGACCCCCCGGTTCACACGGACTCTGGGCGGCTGAATTGATTTTGTACTCCCGGCCCCTGCAGCTTGACTCGGTGCGGGTCGGGCCGCCTCCGTGTCTGGGCCTTCCCTCGCCTCACACCGTTACCCTCTTCTGCCCCCTGCAGGTGGAGGGCTCTTCCTCCAGTGGCTCGCAAGGAGGAAAGCAAGTCCAGCCTCTGTTCTACCCTTTCCAAATCTCCTCCCATCTTAAGCAACTCCCTGCCCCAAGAGTGAGGCAAGGAGGTCTAGCTTGGGGTCACGTGGGCCCACGCTGTGTCCCGGCCCCGCCTCCCGTCCCCCCTGTCGTCCCCCTGTGCAGGGGGTTCTGTGGGGGTCTTGTGTCACAGGCTGCACAAAGACTTTCCTCAAACTAATATTCAGGGATTTCTGTCCTGCAGGGTGGGGAGGTGGCGGCTGCCTGCCCTGCCGAGGATCTTGCTGTGGATGAAATATCTGGGGGCTAGGGGGACAGCTGTAGCATCTGCTGGCATTCGCGTGCCTCCCAGGACCTGGGAGCTGACTCTACAGAGAGGTCTGGGTGCCAAGCCAGGCACCTTCCTGAGTTCTCAGGACTCCCACCCCTGCCCCAAGGGCTTTGGGCAGGGACCTAAAGGGGAAAGAGTCCTGGATCCATCTTTAGCCAAATCACACCCCAGAGCCAGAGGCCTGGGGACCTCCTTGCCTTCCCCTTCCCCTACAGCAAGGTCAACACTACTACGCCTTAGCCACCCCTCACCCTGCTGACCGCGCCTTCCCTCTGCAGCACAGGGCAGGCAGCCACCTATCCCCCACAAGACGGAACCCAGGAGGGGAGTAGAGGGCACCGGGGAATGCTGTGAGGGACTTTAGGGTGGGCAAACGCAGAAGGGAGCCAGTGTCGCCCCTACCCCATCCCACAGCCATTTTTCTCTCGGGTTCTACCCACCACTGTGTCGGATTTTTCTTAAATAAATGGAAGTGGTCAGACTGGAGGTGGGGGCAGCAGCTCCCATGAACAAACAGTATACGGTGGCTGGCTCTGTATCTTCCTTGTGTGCATGGGCAAACACACACACACACACACAAACAAGTCCACACATGCACACACACACACTCGCACACTGTGGGCACACTACATGACATGAGACCAAAACTCGGCTAGACCAGGCTGTGGTCCTGCTCTTCCTCCCCCAACATGCAGGTCCCTTAAGACCCTCTGGTGTTTTGGGATGCCCAGGTCAAGGGATGAAGAATCCGCTGACCCACAAATGTGCCCTTATAAAGAGGTGCCTCCTCTAAGGCTCTGTCCTGATTGGCTCAGGGGAGGGAAGGGCAGGCCTGGGAACTGCAGAGAAAGATCTTCTGGGGGGCACAGAAAAATAAGGAGAGAGGTGAGAGGGTTGGTGTGCCCACCTGAGTTACTCCAGCTTCCTTCACTGCCCACCTCTGAGGTGGCCCTCCCTGTAACCACCTCTCCTCCCTTCTCTCCCCCTTGGGGTTGATGGAGAAAGCCTGGGGATCTACATGTTAGAAACCAGACAGGAGAGAGCACATGCATGTTGGGGTGCCCCCCCCACCAGTGGGCCATGGGCTAGCTGCATCTCATGCCACACTTCACCCGTGAGTGTGCATGCAGCCCCTCATGAGACCCTGGGAGCCCACACCCCAGCACAGGCAGCAACCTAGGGGACACAGGAGCTCAGGCGTGAGTGGCGCAGGAGCTCAGCCAAGGCTACCTGGCCAGCATCCAGTGCCTATAGACAGGTGGCTCTGGCAGTCACTTTTGGAAAGGAAAGGAACAGTAACCAGCATGTGTCCCAGAAGCAGCCAGCAGCAGAACTGGGGCTACACTGGCACCTGCCCAGACATGCTGTTGCTCACTATGGAAGGAAGCCTGGCCTCCCACAATCATCTGCTCAGCTGATGGTGCAGCCCAGGGTGGTTGTGAGGATTAAACTGGATCATGTATGAAGAGCACTCTGCACAGCTCCCGCAGACAGCATGCCTAGTACAGACAGCTGCGCATAGAGGGTATCAGTGAATGGACTTTGCCACAACCAGGTCTTAATTTTCAGGCAAGGCATAGGTCTGAAAGGAAGACTAGAGACTGACCAGCTGTGCCCAAGATACGTTTGGCAACAAAGAAAGGATGCAGCTCAGCAGCAAGTAAGGAGCTAACAGAAAGCTGAGCCTAAAGCAGAACCACAGGGGAGCCTGGCAGGGGGCTCTCCTTGAGTTCCCAGAACAACAGATATCTGCCATTCAAACATTGCCCTGACTACATGCTCCTGGAGGGGTATGGGGGTCTCAGTCATTTTTTAACCCCCTTGTGCTTAACCTGGTGCCTGGAATCAGCAAGTGCTCGACAAATGATTGCCTACCAAATTAAGTCCAAATGCAAACTCTAAATGGTTTTCACATTATCCCGTATTGAGGGATTTGCTCACTCTACCACCTTACTTGAGGTTCATCACCTCATTCCCTTGGAGTTCTTATAAGAGGTGAGGAGGGCAGGGATGTGAGTCGAGGAAGAATACACTAGGTTGGGGATGTGTGCCAGGTGGGGTAGATTGCTGGTGTGAAACTTGGAACATGGAGCCATTTGTTTCCTCAATGCATTAAGCTCCTATGCCCTGGACCCTGATGGGGAGTCTGGGAAGCAAAACTGGATCTGTCCTCAAGGAACCCCCAAACCCATAGGGAAGATGGACAAGTCAGCTGCCCACTGTCGTCTGGGATGATGACAGACCTTTGCCCTAGGTTGACAGGGCACAAAGGAGGACAGGAGAAGACAACCGAAGCTGAGTTTGCTGAGGACAAGGCCAGGGACAGTCCGGTAAGGAGGACAGAGGCTACAGACTCCACACCCTGTGTTTTGCTGCCTGACTTTGCACTTGCTTTCCCTATGCCTGGAACACGAGTCCCTGGTGGGAGGGGAAGCACAGAAAACACACATGCAAAGGTGCGGAGGCCAGAGAGGGTGATGGGTCCAGCAAGGACAGGAATCAGGCTCAGACTTGAGGTTTCGCTCTTGTGAAGGAAGAAAGGATGGAGGGGAAAGGGGACCCGTTAAGAGGATGCTGCAGCAGAAAGCATGAGGCCCTGCGCCAGAGCAGTAGGTACAGAGAGCTGGGAGCAAACTGATATTCGGCTGCAGAATTCGCCAACCGTACATCCCACACGGGGACGATGAGGAGGAGACATGAGCTGCTTGGCTGCAGACATCTCTTTCCCAGATAAACTTCGGACACCAGTCCACTCCAAGCAGGAAAGTGGCATGCTGTTTGCAGGCACCAAGGGTTTCACAAACAGGGAGACGAGGACCTAGAGAGGAGAAGCAGTTGGCTCAAAGGCACACAACAAACTCGGAACAGAGCCAGAGCTATGCCTGCTGCCCTGTCCTGTAATTTGTGTCCCTCTCTCCTCATCCCTCACCCCCTGTCCAAATGGGAGAATTCAGAAGCAATTGCAAAAAACGTCAACTCCTGACCCTCATGGAGTTCAAGCGGGAGCTGGCTTGGTGGGAATGCAGCAGGACATTAAGTTAACAGCCCCTCTGGAATGGCCTCGGTCCTTGCACTCCTCTTTAAAAATTTGTCTTCAACCCCGAAAACGAATTGAGGAACCTTGTAAAGAATAGTTATTGACAGAGAGTTGCTTAGGGAGCACCAGGGAGCCAGGCCCATGAATCAGATCACTAGCAAAATGAGATTTCTCAGACAGCCAGGGCTGGCGAAGGCAGACCGGGAGATTTGGAGGAACTGCCCGGAGCCCACCCTGCCACAGCCCAAGCCCCACACTGCCCACTGTCCTCTCCACATCAGCCCTGGACGCTCTTCCATGCCTATCTTTAACAAACACTAACCTTAGCCCAGTGTGTTCCCCTTAAGAGAAGACTTCAGGGGATGGGGGATGGGGAGTGGGGTTGGAGCCCAGTTGAGAAAATGGAAAACACAATAAGTAGGCTAGAGAAGGAAACTCTCATCTGAAGGGGCAAAACGTTCTAAGATACGTTGGCAGGGACTTGTGGGTTCTGACAGTGCATTTGCCATGTGACCTTTAGCCAATATGTCACCATTTCTGAGCCCTGGTGTCCCCGTACATAAAAACATGGGAATCACTGCTTCTAGGCAGTGTCTGCTGGCCTCCCTGAAGAGGCCCTGTTATTTCAATACTTGTATTTCTTTTTCTCTCTTTTTTTATTTTTCCATTTATTTATTTATTTATTTAGAGACGGAGTCTCGCTCTGTCACCCAGGTTGGAGTATAGTGGCACAATCACAGCTTGCTGCAGCCTGGACATCCTGGGCTCAGGCGATCCTCCTGCCTTAGCCTCCTGAGTAGCTGGGACTAGAGATGTGCACCACCACTCCCAGCTACACTTTTATTTTTTATCTTTTGTAGAGATGGGGTCTTACTGTGTTAACCAGGTTGGTCTTGAGCTCCTAGCTTCAAGCAATCCTCCTGCTTCCCCCTCCCAAAGTGCTGGGATTGTGGGAGTGAGCCACCATAACTGGCAACACTTGTATTTCTAATAAGAGTCATGGAAGATAGGAATTATGGCCGTTTTATAGATAAGGAGGCAAGCACACAAAGAGGGCAAGTAACTTGCCTTCAGCTTAGAAGTGACCTGGTGGGCAGCTCCAAACCTACCTGCTTTCTGCTACATCCTGAGGCAACCGATGATGTTGGAAAGTGAAGGGAATGAGGTTGGAGAGATTTTTAAGTGGGAGAAGAAGAGGGAAGGGTCTCTAAGGATTTGATGTGCTCAGTAGTGGGGTCAAGGCTGTGGGACCCCATTTAAGTCACAGATTGGGGATAGTGTTGGGGCAGATGGAAGACTGTGAATATGCCATAGATGCTTGGCCTCTGCCATTGCTGGAGTAACCACACTCCCTCCTCCACTGGGAACTCCATCCCTAGCTGACTATCACAGCAGACAACCATCAGCTTCTGAAAGCAGAGAACCAGCAGAACTTCCTGAGCAAGGCACTGTGCTGAGCTTGTTCGGAGAGCTGGTGGCACAAGTGGAGATGCCTCATGTAGGGAGATGGGCATAAGCCAGCACCTGCCCTTTCCCTTGAGATACTGGCTGTTCCTTCAGCCTCTTGGGCTAAACAAGAGAAACTGGGAAGTGGAAGCCATCCCCTATGGCCCTCATCCTTGCCACATCGGCTCAGTGAATGTTTATTATACCCTTGCCATAGATCTGACAGAGTGGCAAGCACAGAGGAAGCAGGAGTGTTAAATAACCGCTGGCATTCACTGAGAGCTCATTACATACTAACCACTGTAGAGCTGTCATTTTATTGGCTCCCCACAATAACCAAGTAAGATAGGTATTATTATTATACCCATTTTACAGATGATAAAATTGAGGCTCAGAGAAGTTACATGACTTGTCTCATGCCACCCAGCAAATAAATATCAGAGGCAGGATTCATTATAATAGTCCCAAGTTCTATGGTCTCCCTGCTGCTCCACACTGCCCTCCTCAGTGGAGCCTGGCAGTTCAGATAATCATTCTGATGCAGTGGCAAGAGTGCTAGACTGGATTACAGGGGCTTAGTGGGGTTCTCACTCTGGCATTGACTGGTCATGTGGCCATGAGCCTGGTACCACCCACATCTGGAGCAAGCCAAGACCCTCAACAAGAGGCCAGGAGCCAGATGGTCCCTCCAGTGCTGTCCCTTCAGTCTTGAGGGTTCTTGGGCCTTATGGTATGAAGCCTGGCACACCCAGACATGCCAGTTCACACCCTCCCTTCACCCATCCTCTTGGACAGTTGTTGTGTGGTGGGAGGTGGCAGAGGTGGGCAGTAACAAGTGTCAGGGGTCCCCAGCTGTCCTCCAAGCTTTGCCAGCTCTGCCATCCTCTATTTGGTGCTGCCATGGGCGGGTGCTCCTGTGGGTTTGGGGTTTGCTGTATTGGAGGAGGCTGGGCATTGTGAAGGAAAAAGGGAGGATGGGAATGGCAACTACCCCTTTGCTGTGTGTGCCAGAATGACAGTGAGTCTCAGGGTTAAG